TTCCCAAGCTGGACATAATCCTCCCTTCACTGTCATGCCTCTCTGTGAGCAGTTTCCTACTTTGCATTCTGTGGCAGCCATGTATAATCTGCCACCTAATCGTCCAGCCCCCTCCTGATTGCTTGAGCTCACTAGGCAGTAAGCTCCAGCTGCTGGAACAGGTGCCTAATGTCCCCACCCTCTTTGGTCCTGGTGCCATCTTCCTTATCCTCAGCATCAGAAATGCTATGACAGCAAGTGACTGAATGTGTGATGAAATTATTTTGCTGACCCCTCATTGCCAATGTTTAGGGCTATGGTGGGATAAGCAAAAGAGGAGGAGGAGAAACAGGGCCGGATTTGCTCTCCCTGCCGCCCCAATGCCAGGTTCCGCAATGCGCCCCCTCAAAAGAGGAGGGCACATTAGCAGTAGTTGCAGACAACTGACGGCTCTGCACATGGGAGGAGGAAGAAGAGGGAGGCTTTGTCAGCCTTTCAACTACTTCCTCTGCGTGCTGTGGTTGGATAGCATGGCCACTTTCAAACAGAAAAGGCAGGCATGCCTTGTCTCTAGGTGGTGCTTCCCAACCATCACTTTGTCCTACAGGCATTTTATTATTTTAAATAGCCTAACTTTAATGGCAATAGGGGGAATACATATTTGGTAGTTTGGTGCAGAAAACCTTGCCGCACAAGAATGTGTTGATGTGCTGCAAACAAGGTGCATATTTGCCTGTGTCAGCAACAAGAACTTTGAGAAGGTACAACAATTGGGAGTCCCATATGATAGTCCCACAATGCATGTATAGACTATGTGGCTCTGACAGCCAATCAGAAAGAAGCAGTTAGTTCTTAATCTACCAACATTTGATTGGAAGGTTGTGGAAAAGACACCCCAAACTAAAAAAATAAAGGCAATAGTAAAACCTGTACCTATATATAACACTGAAAAATAAAAATCACAATGCTCAGAAAGTTACTGATGCAATAACTATTTGAGGAAATCTGTGAAAAAGACAGAAATGCACTATTTTTTTCAGATCGCACTGCACCAGGATGCGGGGCATTACCTCGCGCTCTGATGCGGACAAGTGCACTGCGGGCGGGGGGTTTTCTGGGGTGCCATTGACATGAATAGCACCACCATGCCCCCTCCTGCCCAACAAAGTGGCCCAGCCTGATTTATGCAATCGAGTGCTTCCTGGACTTGAACCAATGCTGGAACGCACTGGCTCCCTCAGGGCCCAGTGTGACTGGGCCCTGAGGGAGCAACCGACGGGGAGGAAGATAACAGGACAGTGGATTAAGGAATGTGTAATGCATTCTCAAACATTGTGCACTAATTCCTTCTTCAGCAGGAGGGAAAGACAATAATTAATTATTTCTTGAGTGCTTTGAGTGTGTCTTAAATGTATGTGTGTTTGATGTCCTGTAGAGTGTTCAGTAATGTAGTATTGTTATTAGACGTCCTGGACAATTGATACCTTCAGAGCTTTATGTCCTGTAATGCTGTACACAGGCTGGGGAGAGAAGCCATTGCTTGTGGCAGGAGGAGCAGGTATTTATACACCCAGAAGTGTAAAATAACTTTGGTGGCCAAGGAGCACTAAAGCATCAGCACAGGGCTGCTGGAAAGGTAAGAATAGAGCCTGTTCATTTACAGGTCTAATGTTTAATTGTAAGTGACCATGTTAATATATGTAATGTGTGTTTTACTGTGCATTGTGTTTAGGCAGGGAGCCATCTTTTAGATTGTAAGCCCTCACAGGCAGGGCCCTTCTTCTTGTCTTGAATTGTATTGTAATTGTAATGTCTTCCCTATATTGTAAAGTGCTGTGCAAACTGTTGGCGCTATGTACATCCTGTATTATAATAATAATAATCTTGTAAAATACAAAGTTGTCTCTAAGTATTATAGTTCGGAATTCACCATCTTCTATTGCATTGTTCTAAGCCCTGAAGAAGGGGGATGTGTTTGCCCCAAAACGCATTCACTGCACCCGGCTTCTCTTTCCTGTGAGCGCAGTATCCTTAAGATTCAGATATTTCCATACTGGCCTATTGGGAGATTAGCACCTATACTTCTACCTACCCAGATGTTTCAAGGCCCTATTTTCATTAATTAATCTGAGTGCATTATTTATTTAATTTTTTTTTTTTAATTTCCTTCCCCGGTAACATACAAGGTCTTTGAGCTCCATATTACCTCTCTCTGTTCCTTCAGTGCTCATTGGAGGTACAGACAGGGGAGGGGGTTGGCACAGCTCGTTCTGGCTCTGGCTAAAGTGACACTAAATTCTGGAGTTAAATCTTAAAAATACATTCAAGTACCTTAAGGCTGGGTTCACACCTGGGCGTACCGTAGGCGCGTTTTTTCTGCTCCTTTTTTTCGCGTTTTTTAACACGTTTTTTTTGTTCAGTGAAACACACGTTTTTATACCTCCCTGGCGGTAAGATTTATGTTTATTTATTTTTTCCTTTATTTTCTCTTTTTTTTCAGTTTTTTAAACTTTTTTTGTTTTTAAACTTTCAAACTTCCTGCCGGTTCCGCCCCCCTGTGACGCGGCCGCTCGCAAGGGAAGGAACCTGGAAGTCGGCAGCGGCCGGAGGACACAGCGGGGATCGCGGACATGGTAAGTCCTACTCTGTATTCCCGAGTGTGGCTCGGGGTTACCGCTTTGTTAACCCCGTGCCACACTCGGGAATAACAATGGATACGTGCTGAAAAACGCCCCAAAGAAGCTGCTGTACTTGTTTGGGCGTATGGCATTTTTCAGCGCGTTTCCATGGGCTGAAATACGCCCAGGTGGGAACCATGCCCATTATAAATTATTGGATTTCCCTTGCTGGGCGTTTTTTAGCGCTTCGATCAGCGCTGAAAAACACCCAGATGTGAACCAGGCCTAACTGTTAACAAAAATTTATCTTATTTGTGTATCACTCGGCTGTAGATCCTCAAATCATCTCTGACTTGGTGCTGACACTGTCCTTCCTCCTGGAGGGTGGCTACTTGTTCTCCATCGTCCCTGTGTGTGTGTTGTAAAGTAGTCACCACTCCAGGCTCACTCCTGTGATAGACTACAAATTAGTAAACTAAAATGAGATTGTAGTCCTTCAAGGGAGTGTGCTTGAAGAGGTGGCTACTTTACAATACACACAGGGACCATGGGGAACAAAAGTAGCCACCCTGCAGAAGGAAGGACAGTGTCAGCATGAATTCAGAGATGTTACCTTTACTATTAACAAAAATGTATCTTATTTGTGTATCACTCGGCTGTAGATCCTCAAATCAACTCTGACTTGGTGCTGACACTGTCCTTCCTCCTGGAGGGTGGCTACTTGTTCTCCATCGTCCCTGTGTGTGTGTTGTAAAGTAGTCACCACTCCAGGCTCACTCCTGTGATAGACTACAAATTAGTAAACTAAAATGAGATTGAAGTCCTTCAAGGGAGTGTGCTTGAAGAGGTGGATACTTTACCATACACACAGGGACCATGGGGCACAAAAGTAGCCACCCTGCAGAAGGAAGGACAGTGTCAGCATGAATTCAGAGATGTTACCTTTACTATTAACAAAAATGTATCTTATTTGTGTATCACTCGGCTGTAGATCCTCAAATCAACTCTGAATTGGTGCTGACACTGTCCTTCCTTCTGGAGGGGTGCTACTTTTGTTTTCCATTGTCTCTGTGTGTGTTGTAAAGTAGTCACCGCTCCAAGATCACTCTCATGATGGACTATAAGGTCAATACAAATTAGTAAACTTAAAGGGGTTCTAAAGCCTCCGTTTTTTTGCCTATATCTACTTCTAGCAAGCAGTTGATATAGGCAAAAAGTTTTAAAAAAACAAAAACGCTTTAACAGCGGTTTAAACTTCCCTCGTTATCGCTGCGCTCTCCCGCGCCGAGAATCCGGAACTGCTCGTGCGGCCGCAAAGGATCTTGGGGCGGGCGCATGCGCAGTTCGGATTCTCGGCCGGGAGACGAGCAGAGACGCAAGGTAAGTCCATGGACGTGTGCACCCACATGCAGACACCGCTGGATCGGAAGTGCCTGCTAGCAGAGAGGAGTCAGCGCTGCATCGGAGAGCTGCCGCACCACTGGAGGGACAGATGAAAAGGACAGGAAAGAAGAAGAAGATCGGATTAAGAGACATAATTTAAGGTAAGTGCTGACATTAACATTTGGGGAGGGAAAAAATGTTTTTACTTTAATGTCACTTTAACATGAGATTGTAGTCCATCATGGGAGCGAGCTTGGAGCGGTGACTACTTTACAACACACACACAGGGACCATGGGGAACAAAAGTAGCCACCCTCCAGAAGGAAGAACAGTGTCAGTACCAATTCAGAGATGATTTCAGGATGTACAGCTGAGTGATGCACAAATAAGATACATTTTTGTTAATAGTTAAGGTACTTGAATGCATTTTTAAGATTTAACTCCTTAGCTTAGTGCCACTTTAAATTTTAGACTGAGGTGCCTCAAGATTTGCATCCTTTTAAAGGGTGCAATGACAACAAAAAAAGGTAGAGGAGTGTTGCTATATTTAATAAAGTAAATAGACAGAGCCATGGTTACATATTATTATTATTATTTAATGGAGATCTAACAAACGCCTGAGCATTCTTGAAATAGTAAATGAGCTTTTTTCCCCCATCGCCCATGCTGTCGGTGGTAATGACAGCTGGCTGTAGAGAAGAAGGATGCCTGCAAATGATAGGCGGTGGGAGCCTGTGACTCCACTCCACATTTCCCTGTCAGCCTTGTTCCTAGATTGAGGCGATGCCTTGTACGGCACGTTTCTTTGCCTCTGTCTCTCTCCTCCTGGCTGTGTCTCCGGGATTTCGTGCTGTCAGTCGGGTCATGGAGCCGGTGTAGAGCAGATCTGGGTGCACTATGCTCAGCGTGACATCTGTACAGCGGCATCCAGCGCGGCCAGGTCACAGCACATAGCGCACACAGGTTAGTAGCGGAGTCGTGGCCAGGCTCTGCTCCCAGCAGCATCGGATCTGCCGCACACGCACACACACACTGCTCACTTCAAGGCTCTTTCCCGGAGGAAGTCTGATGAAAACTTTTCACCCATTTGTCAAGAGAGCTGCGGAGGGGCTGTGGACCCCCCTCTGAGGGTGTCGCTGCATTAGATGCCATTTGCTCTCCATCAGTGCGGGAATTAGGAATTGGGAAGTGATTGGAGGTCGCAGCATGCTTTGGATGTGGGGAGCCGTGCTGCTGTCACTTTGCTCCGGTGCTGAATGGAGAGCTCGTAGCTGCAATGAGGTCAGACAGGCGTACAGCGCTAAGGGATTCAGCCTGGTCAGTGTCCCCTACCAGCAGATAGCAGGTAAGGAGCAACATGCTTCCATCACCTATGTCTGACTATTCATCCCCTACATAGTCCCTAAACTCTCATCCCTATTAATGGAAATGCCATTTACCATGACAAATACAACTCTCCATCTCTGGCTGCGACATGCGATCCCTTTCATAGCACTACAGTCCCTAAACTCTCCTCCCTATCAATGGAACTGACATTGACCATGCCAAATACAACTTCCCAGCTTCGGGTGCGATATGCGATCCCCTTCACACCACTACAGTCCCTAAACTCTCATCCCTATGAATGACAAATGCAACGCTCTGGGTGCGATGTGTGATCCGCTTCACAGCACTACAGCCCCTAAACTCTCATCCCAATGAATGGAACTGACATTTACCGTCATAAATACAACTCTCCAGCTCTGGCTGCGACATGCGATCCCCTTCACAGCTCTACAGTCCCTAAACTCTCATCCCTATAAAAGGCAAATACAACGCTCCAGCTCATGGTGCAACATCCAATCTCTGTATGGGCTTAATTTCATCTTGCTCTGCCAATAATACCACTTGATTATGAGAAAAGAGTAAACACAATGTATCTGCCATAAATATTATTCTCTGTGTTATTTACAGTTCTGGTTTTAGTAGGATGTTTGTCTTTATACTGCTTGTAACATGATTCCATTTAAAGTAGATGTAAACTCAATCAATCGCTAGAATATAATGTCATCATTAAATATTTCATTTCATTTTCATAATTCATTATTATTAATTATTATTATTAATAATAATAATTATTATTTTTATTATGAATACTATTTTTAAGGATTCATATAGCCAATCTTTTCAATTTTTGCAGATTTTCTTTTCACCTTTTTTTCACTATTGGTTGAACTTCATTGACTTTTTTTCAACCTTTGTATATCTGCAGCTTTTATTAAAAGAATACCTGGTGATCTGTCCAGGAAGGTTCTTGTTATGGGGTGACAACGCTGTCTCCTCATTGTTGTCCTGTTTTCACCCTGTCACATGTGCTTCCAGTGGAAACTATAAGCAGCTGCACTGACGTTAATTTCACAGGCATGTCCTGCAGTGGTTACCATCAAGATGCCTGCCCTGGCACATGACATGTAGCCAATGCTGGGATGTGTGCATGTATATAGGAAGTGGCTGCAAAAAGACTGGATGAGATCAGAAGCAATCATATGCAAAAAAAAAAAAAGAAAGTGAAAACAGTATTTTCTAGAAAGAAAGAAAAAAAAGTGTCATCTGGTTAGGGTTTACTTCTACTTTAAACTGGCATGAAGTAAGTGCCGTAAGTGCATTTACCATGTTTATTTCTGGCTGTGGGGCCAATTGTGCTTGTCATCTCAGTCATTACACTGTGCTTTCTGCTCCTATCTCTGCTGGCATTGATGTAGACACATAGCTACCCCGTACATATCCTTCTATGTTCACGTATCAGTGATGTAAAGGTATGGAGAAAGTTAATCATGTAATGTTTTTCCATTTATTGTATCAGTATGCCTTTCCACTTAAGTTGTAGCTTGGTTTTATTTTAGATTCTTGGTTCTGTTGGGGGTCTATGGTAACATTTCAAGAAGCAGCTCAGGGTAATTGTCCACATAACAATAGATAAACTTTGCTAAAGCACCATGTTTTACCTCCATTGGTGTCCCAGCAGTGTGCTGTTATAGATCGTGTTTGTGTAATATGTTTCTTCTTCCTTGTCTGGCCACTGTATCTATTACGGCTGAATAATGTCTGCTTGGAGGTATTTAACCCTGCTTGTGTCTCATGACAATGTATCTCTTGCAGATTAATGTCCTGAATGATCTGTATTCTTTAAAAATGTTTATGCTGAATAGTTTCCACATGTATTCCCCTATGCTAGTTTATGTCTGTACTGGTAAAGACATCCCTGTAATCCCTTCATCAAAAATAAAAGAAATCTTGGGAAATACAATTACAATAATGCTGTAAATACAATACAAATAAAATGTACCTTCTTGTATGATGACTGCACACAGAAGAATGAATCAGACTTAAATATATAACATGAGCAGGGTTCATTTAGGAAACTTCTTTTTGTATATCTAGATATCTAGAATTAATTATTAGTTACTATGTTAGGTTGCTCTAATGCATTTGAAGCGTGCAGTTCATAGGATAATGCTGACTTGTATGTTTGCCAGCTGCTTTGTAACCATTCAATGAAAGGTGCACTCTGAGCTGCCAAAGCTGTCATTAGCAGTGGATCAGATATAGCTCATAGATTGATTGTATGTACTTGGTAGAATTCTTTGGATAGCATAAACCATAAACTTCTCCTCACCAGTGCGGCAGCAATCATGATTGATGGGCACCTGTGACACACGCTGCCCCTACAAGGCTGAGGATGAGAACTATGCAGTGATGGTTACCCTGCACCCTAACAGGCAAACTATCCAGTAATGGTTACCCTGCACCTTAACAGGCAGAACTATCCAGTAATGGTTATCCTGCACCCTAGAAGGCAGAGCTATGCAGTGATGGTTACCCTGCACCCTAACAGGCAGAACTATCCAGTAATGGTTATCCTGCACCCTAGCAGGCAGAGCTATGCAGTGATGGTTACTTTCAGCTTAACAGGCAGAACTATGCAGTGATGGTTACCCTGCACCCAAACAGGCAGAACTTTACAGTGATGGTTACTCCGCACCCTAGCAGGCAGAGGTATGCAGTGAAGGATATCCTGCACCCTAGCAGGCAGATGTATGCAGTGATGCTTACCTTTCAGCATAACCTCCCAAAAATAACTGTTATACCAGTTTTTTCTAAAGGTCCTTTTCAGCAGAGCTCAAATTCTGCTGAAAAGGATCTTTAGAAAAAACTGGTATAACAGTTATTTTTGGGAGGTTATGAATTGCCCCATGGATTAGTGACCACTTGAGTCCCCCCCAACTGATGACCGTTGGTATTTAAACCCGACCACTCCTCAGACTGATCAGTACTGGTCACCCCCCCTTCTTTCCTGATGTGCTCCCATGACAAATTCCTGTGGATGATGACTACCAATGACTCCTCCCTAATTAGACAGTGTCAGTGATCTGCCTCTTGAAGACCGCTGCACACTCTCCACAAGGTTAATTACTATGACCTGTCCTCCAACCTCAAAAACCACAAGCATGTCACTAGTATAAGCCCAGAGACAGGGTGTGCCATAGTGACAGGTGATTATGCAAAGCACAATGATTCAGCGTACTGACAGGTAATGTTCTGACTGTAATTTGAATAGTGACAGGTGACATGATGTGATGTGTTTTTTTCCCCCTCACCGGTTTACAGTATGTTACATTTTTATTTATTCTGCATAGAAATATTTTTATTAGACAGACACATCTTTTATCACCTATTAACAACTCATTAATTGATTTGCTTTTTATACTTTCCTCACAGAAATCAATACATTTAGTAAAAATACCAACACATACACAGTTCATTTCCTAACTTTTTTAACGTACGTACGACTGTAGTTTGTTACCATTCAACCAATGCACTTTTGCTAGTTTTTTTTATAAAGCATGCACAACAGATGGTTTGATAGGAGAAAGAGTAATGTTGCGACTGCACTGAGCAATAGTAAAAAATAACATATTTTTGTGTGCTGACTACTCTATACCAGCATTTCTACACCTTTTTTCAGTCACGGCACCCTTTAAATATATGCTATGCTTTGCTAAAAGCTATGTGTGCTCCATCCAAAATCCATACCAGACCCTCATCCCAGATAAGGATCGCAAATGAAAAACACACAAAAATTGAGTTCCCCTTTACATCAGAGTACACCCTTCAGATCAGAAGCCCTCCGTCATATTAGGAGTCCCTCTTTCACATCAGAATCTCCTCTTTCATATCAAAGCCCCCCTTTACGTCAGCAGCTCCCCCTTCCCATTAGGAGCCCCCTTTCCATCAGTCTCCCCACTTGCAAACACACACACTAGGAGCCCCCTTCACATCAGAAGCCCCCTTAATATCTGAGTCCTCTTTCACATCAGAGTCCTCCTCTTTTTACATCAGGAGCCCTCTTCAGATCAAAGGCATGATGCTTTATGAAAAATTTGAGGCCCAGTTAAGGAAGTCAGAAGGCACCCCGTCGTGCCATGGCTTCTGGTTAAGAAAGGCACATCTATACTATAGGCAGTACCCTCCTAACCATCTTGTCTTGAATTGTATTGTAACCGTCATGTCTTCCTTATATTGTAAAGTGCTGCTAGGACAATTATGATATAAATCCTGAATAATAATAATAATAAGCACAGCCTGAAAAGGGTCCAAGAGAGGTGTACAGCACGTGTAATATTTCTTACAATGTCTGTAGACCTCCAGACATTAAGATGAAAAGGAAGATAGGTGTCCTACTTATCTCCTGCCTCCCATACATTATACAATATCATGTTTCTGTATTTCAAAAAAAAAATATTTGCATGTATAACCTTCACATCAGCGTCCCCTCCTTTCACATCAGAATTTCCCTTTACATTAGAAGCTCCCCTTCATATCAAGAGTCCTTATCACAACAGAAGCCTCTCTTCACATCAGAGCCCCCTTCTTTCACATAAGAATTCCCTCTTCACATCAGAAGCTCCCCTTCACATCGGGAGCCCTTATCACATCAGAGGCCCCTCCCCCCCCTTTCACATCAGAATTTCCCTCCTTTCACATCAGAATTTCCCTTTACATTAGAAGCTCCCCTTCATATCAAGAGCCCTTATCACATCAGAAGCCTCTCTTCACATCAGAGCCTTCTTCTTTCACATCAGAATCCCTCCTTCACATCAGGAGCCTTCCTTTCACATCAGAGTCCCCCCCCCCCCCCCTCACATCAGAAGCCTTATTTTCACATCAGAGTCACCCTTTACACCAGCAGCTCTTTTCAAATCAGAAGCATGCATGCACAGTGCAAAAAGAAAGATACATTCATGGAAGTCTCACTGCAAGGATTAAGTGTATTTCTGCCCTGAGTTCTTCTTTAAAGCTTTCTTT